GATGAAAACACAGCCAGAACTCGTAGCCTCTCCCTAGCGGTATTCCCGAGTGTAGCTCGGGGTAAAGTTTCAGTACCACAAGCGGTAACCCTGAGCTACACTTGGGCTAACCATGCGGCACTGCTGCTCCGGGATCTGTTCTTCTCTTACCTTGTCCTGCTCTCCCGCGATCTCCCTCCTGCAGTGTCCCCTGTAATGGTCCTCCGGCGGGATGCCAGCATCTGTCTTCCGGGTTCCCACCCTGCAAAACGTCGGGACGTATGGGGGACGGAACTGGCGGGAAATTTGAAAATGACAAAAAGTGACATTTACTAAATACACTAAAATCACATAGTATAACATTACTGTATCAAACCATTTCACATACATTTTGTCCCTAGTGCTTTGTCCTGTGTGCCCTGCCTGCATTTTTAACCGTTCTTTCTGCCTGGAAACTGAGAAACGTCCACAGGGTCCAAAAAGCATCCCTTTCGGTCAAATTGGTTTTAAACCAGCTAGAGAACAGCTATAGTAAATTAGAACTACTTGCAGAATTTGAGTGATAATGATTCGTGGGGAAATTCGTCCATCAGACACTGAAAACGATTTTGGCGACTTTGCTCAGTGATGTGCGAACTTGGTGCTATATTTCAAATTTCAGTGTTTTTGGTTTGATTACATTATTGAATTCAATTTATTATTATTATTTTTATGATTATTTATTAAATTATAATTTATGATTTCGTGTTTCAAATTTTAACATACCCGGGATGTTTACTAGACTCTTGTTCGGACAGATTTCAGTGAGTTATTCCTAAAAATTACAGGCCTACAATAAAAAAATACATATTTCCAATCAAAAAAATGTACCGCTTTGAGCACAGAAATATGGACATAATCAGACCGCTAGGGAGGTTAATAGGGGCAACACCTAAGCAGGACAGCTGAATTAAGGGTGGCAATACAAACAAAACCACCCAGCCACAATGTACACAAGCCTGTCTGCAATCTAGAGACAATAGAGACAATTTTAGGAAGTGTGGAAGCAAAAACAAACAAAATTCATCTTGTGAAACTCATAACACCGTGATCAATTCAGCTGTCCTGCTTAGGTGTTGCCCCTATTAAGAGATCTGGCTGTGTTTCTCGTCGGCTTCGGTTTGCGCATGCGTAATAGAGACCTGGCGCATGTGCAGTTGAATGTCGGCGTGGGATATAAAATTGGCGGGAATAAGAAATGGCCCTTTGGCTAACCAAACTGTGCACATGTAGGATCTCACGAGACGTTTTGAGACCCTCTGGAGATAATTTGAGAGACTTGTGTTGAGGGGAGGGCTTCAGGAAATGTGGTGACTGCTCAGTCACCTGGGTGATTCTGTATAGTGCATTGTTCTGAGTACTGATTGATTTTTACAGCTAATATTCTATGAACTTGTGACCTCTCCTGACATCTAGTGGCTGAATTGTATATCAACAATTTGAGTCAAAAACTGATTTCTTGTTTCTTCTATTGCCTGAATTGTTATAATTTACAGGTAAATTCATTTTTTTTTTATTTATTTTTTTTTAATTATTTCAATGACTTGACATCACCTGGTGTTCTCTCTCCCTCTATCTGATGCTCTTTTTTTTGCCTCATATTGGTAAAAATTCAATTAATGCATTTGCGCTTATTTATGCCTATGTTTAGATGGATATTTGATCCCTATTATATCCTCCACAATTGCACGGATGCATAGGCCAACTAAGTTCTTTGACTGTATTGCAGTTGAAGCTTTTCTATCTCTCCCCTGTAGAAACCCTTGCTGGGCAAAACATGTAGGGAATCACTGCAACACACATACAGCCAAGCTTCAATTTATGTTTTTACAGTATTGTAATTATTTACTCTTTTTCTTTCCCCCTTTTTTTGTAAGATTAAATAAAATGTATTGTGGTTTTTTTAAATCTGTTTATCATTGTAAATTTGCACCCTTAATATCCCACAATATCTAGTTCAACATTTTCAAATTCCAGGGATGTGGTGCGATTTATATATCTTGTCACTCACTCGCCACTTCTTGACAATTTTACTATATAAAGAAAAAGAACTGTGGAAAACAGCACCAACTTTGGGCTACCAATTAATTTATAAGAAAATGTTTAAAAGATTATTTATATTCAGAATGTTAAAAAATAGAATCATGCACAAATTCCTCATCAACCTCACATTCCTCCCCATCCTAGCTATCCGCACAGATCCCCAACAATCAACCTTTGTCAAAAAATACCACCATGTGATCTAACACTTCTAGAAGTCCCTCCTGAAAGAAAAGAAAAGAAAAGAAAAGAAGAAGCTGAAACCATATACTTTGTAAAATAAATATGACACCTGTAATGAAAGAAAACTGCCTTAAATAAAGAGAGCCAATGGGCAGTCAACATGCATGTGCACATGTATGCAATCCATACACTTCAAGCTACAGCCACATAACTTCCTAAGGACTGCACTAAAGTGGTCTAGGTAATTTCCTTGTTCTCTGGGGAAGCTTTGGACTGGGCATCCCCGCTCTAGCAAACAAGTGATCCTGTGACCAACATCATTTGCTTTGCTGGCTCTCTTCTAAAGAATCTTTCAGGAGTCTGCTCAAGCCTTCTCTGCAGTAAGTGCTTGTCAGGGCCTGGACTTGAAAAAAAACCTAGGACCTCTGTGATGTCTGGCAATGACTCTCCTTGTACAGCCACCTGAAATTCTGAACAGTTCCCTGAACTTGGATTGATCCTACCTTTTACCTTGTTTGTCTTGAACCATGAACTTCCTGATTTTAGCCATGCCTCTGCACTTCCTGTTTTCCAGATTATTGCGTTCTCTCCAGTAAATATCTTGCTCCCGTCTCTCCTGCTGCCATCTATATCTTCGCTCCCATTCGTTACTGACCTTTAGCTTGTTCCTCAACTGCTCCTCTGCTTAATCTCAACCTGCAACTGTTCATTACAGACTTTTGACTTGTTTGCTGACTATGCTTCTGCTTGATCCCTGCCTGCTTATCTGCTACCAGATCCCGGCTTGTTCACCTCCTGGTACTAACACGCATCTAAACCCATCTCCACCATCAGGAGCTCTGCTGAATACCGGTTAGTACTTGGACCCCGCACCTCAGGTGAACTTGTGTCATCCGCCGGGGTGACCTGTTTGTATACCCTGTCCCACTTGTTAGTGGGTAATGCTCAACTGTTATAGCTACTGGCCTTCAAGCCTGACTTCAGACCATGACAGAATAATCTGGTCCAAAACATGGAGGTCATTGTAGCAGCTGCTGTAGCGTAACTCACTGAGCTCAGGATTTGGTGTTAGCTACTGAATTACAAATTGAAGTGAAAGGGCTACAAGGACATCCTTGATCTGCACAGACAACTGCAGGACTTGCACTCCTGAGATACTGCTGCAGTAGATACTAATGCACATATGCCCCTACCATTCAAGTTTAATGGAGAACATCACCATTACAGAGGTTTCCTTTATCAACGCCTCATATACTTGCTGAATTTAATTTTTTTCAGAAAAAAAGGTGTCTATTATCAACCTCCTGACCAAGGGCGAACTGACCATTTGGAAACTTGGGCACTGCCCGAGGGCCCGGGGTCGGTAGGGGGCCCCATGAGATGCCCCTGCTCCCTTTTTCATAGGCTTTTTTGAGTTTGGGCAAGGACACAGGGGCCCATGATCCCCTATTGCCCGGGGGCCCCATGAGTTTTGTCAGTCCGCCCCTGTTCCTGACTAAGGAAGCCTTAGCCTGGGCCTCTCCTTATGTGGATTAAAACAAGCGCATCCTGGATAACTTCAATTCTTTTGTGGCTGCTATGAATCAAGTTTTCGATTATCTTAACTGCTGCGCTAACTGCCGAGGCATAGTTGCACACAATTTAAAGAGGGTAAATGCTCAGTTGCAGAATATACAACCAAATTCCGACGTTGGATTTTAGATACTGCTTGGGATCCAGCAGCGCAAAAAAGTCAGTACCATCAAGGACTCTCTGAACAAGTAAAAGATGAGCTTGCCAGAGTAGAAAACCCTGAAGATCTTGAGGCTTTTATTAAATTATGTATTCAAATTGATCAGAGACTTCCTGAAAGGACAAAGGAGAGACTGGGAATTCTAGGTAGTAATGGTGGCATGCATTTTTTCTACCAGTCAGTTTGTTCCTAAGGGACCAATAGTTCTTCCAGATTCTGACACTCCTGAACCTATGCAGATGGATGCTATTAAAAGATCAATTTCTACGCAGGAGAAGGAAAGATGACATTCAGAGAATTTATGTCTTTATTGTGGAGAATCTGGACATTATGCAGTTAATTGTCCCAATAAATTTAAAAGAACAATTGTGCCAACTGATGTTACAGTGTCCGAACAAATAAACTCAATTTCTCAGTCTGTCTCTCTTTGATTCAGAAAGCAAAGTTCATTCTTTATCATGCCATTTTGTCATCCCTATAAAGCTCATAGAAAGCAGTGAAATCCCTTGTTCTGCGATGCTGGACTCTGGGGCAGGGGAGAACTTCATGAACATTGAATTTGTTCAAAATAATAACATACAAATAAGAAATAAACTTGCCCATATTGATATGGAAACTGTGGATGGCTCAACTTTGTCTTCAGGACCTGTTATCCATGAGAGAGTCCAGCTTGAACTCCAAATTGAGGCTGAACATCAGGAAACGATCAGCTTTCAGCTGATCACATCACCCAAATTCCCTATCATCCTGGGCATTTCTTGGTTCTCTATCCATAATCCCTCCATCAACTGGGAGACATGGTCTATAAATTTTACATCTGACCATTGCAAAGAGCATTGCAAAGAAACTTATCAAATAAGTCCTCCACCAACCCAGGATTCACAGGCTGTTCTGGTGACTACCCAGTGATACAACAAGCTGCCCCCGCAATAACTTGAGTTCCGGGACATTTGTGATAAAAACAATGCTGATTAGCTGCCTCCTCATTGCTCATTTGATTGTCCCTTTGAATTGTTTCCAGGGGCAGAAATACCCTTTGGCCGCCTTTATTTTCATTTAGAACCTGAACTGAAGGTGCTCAGGGAATGGCTTGATGAGAATTTAGAGAAGGGTTTTATAAGACACTCAACCTCTCCTGCTGGAGCAGTTTTATTCTTTGTGGAGAAAAAGGACTCATCCTGCATCCATGTATCGACTACAGAGATTTAAACAGGAACGCAATTAAAAATTGTTATCTACTCCCAATTGATTCCAGAACTGCTCGAGAGGCTCCGCTCTGCCAAGCTCTTTACTAAATTAGATTTACGAGGGGCATACAACCTTGTCCACATTTGTCCTGGAGACGAATGGAAAACTGCTTTCAGAACCAGATATATGGACATTTTGAGTCTTTGGT